GAATAGGTTGATTAAATTCAAGCACACCAAAAATTTTGTAAATAAGGCAGAATTTAATTTCTCTTTGCAATTATGCAGCTCTTAATAAAATAAAAAATAAATAAAATCCCAGTAACAATATTTAAGTTTGCAGTTGTAAAACTAAATGTTCCATGGATTTGAAAACTGTTTGTAACTGAAATTAATGTCAGGCATGTAAGGCCATTATAAGATTTGTTGCTACTAGTTAGTTAATCTTTTTTCTCCATTCTTTATACGCTGTTCTGAAATGCAGTTAAGTTTATCTTTAAAATCAAAAAGACAGTTTGTTTTGTTGCAAATAGCTCTGCTTTAATCGATGAGGGGAAAGAAACATCTTTTGACATTAATTTGTTTTATCCATCTAAAAATGTCATTTACGTAAATATTACACAAAAGTACATTCCTACCAATCTTTTGTGTCAGTTGTAAGGCTTGTATTTTCAAATGTGACTCTGAATTATAACAGAAACGATGTAAACAACAGAAAATTATTCAATTAAAATTATTATGACCACATTTCACTTTGCTCCTACGTTCTTATAATGTTCTTTGAGTTTACTAAATGCAGAAGATATTTTATGTATTAACATTTATTTGCAGTGCATGGAATCGGACAAATTAATGGCAAATTTCTTATAAATAAGAACTGGCCTTTTAGTATTTTTTGTTATCTTTATTAATTCTCTATGCTATGACAGGCATATATGTCTGTATTTTAATATATGTTTCAAGAAATAAGGTTTTGTGGCTTTGTGACTAGATACATTCTATATAGTGAAAATATGTGGTAAATAGCTCTTTGATTCATAAATGTTGCAAAATAGTGCAGCTACACCTAGTGGACCAATGTTCAAGATCATATCATTTATGTTGATTATAAGTATAAATAGAGATTAAAATTTTTGAAACAAAAATATATAATAATGAATGTCACATTAGATGTTTGTGTATGAAAATTGATCACTTAAGTAAAATGTGCTATCTTATTATCCATCATTATTAAAACATAAACATGTTTTGTTTGACAAAAATCAGAATAAACTTTTTTAGGTAATTTTTTTTTTTTTTCCTAATTTGATGTCTGACAATTTAAGAAAAAGAAGGTTTTTTTTTTAAATTCAGTGTAAGTAAAAATATGGCTTTTCTCCACAGACAGAGCCATGTCGGCGGCGCTGGCCGCCGGCGGAGCGGGTAAAAGGAAGAGTCGTTTCAGCGGGGCGGAGCTGGAGGTGCTGGTGTCGGAAGTCACCCGGTGCGAGGGCGAACTCTTCGGTCCCGCCGGGAGACTCCGGCGGAGAGAGAGGGAGCGCATATGGGCGGGGATCCTGGAGAGGGTCAACGCCGTGTCCCGAGTGCCGCGCACGCTTCGAGAGGTCAAGAAGCGCTGGGACGACCTGAAGCGGCGCAACGGAGGCAGGCTGGCGGACGCCCGCCACCGCAGCTGCTACCTGCCATCCAGCAGGGGGGCATCGATGCTCGGGCGCTCCTCCCAGCCAAGTCCGAGGCTCCAGCAGCAGAGGCAGAAGCAAAGCAGCAGACCAAAACCTATTTTCCCCTGCTTCCCCGACTCTGACCCAGGTAGCAACAGATTTTTTATTTATTTATTTATTTTGTGCAGCTGGATTTGCAGTAACTTCTGGTCCCATCACGCAGGTGTAGGAGTGGATGGATCAGACAGGGATGCTTTGGAGAAAGAGGAGGACATTTCTGAGCGTGAGAGAGACATGGGGGAGCCTGAGTGTGAGGCGGTGGAAAACAGCATAGATGACAAACTGGGATTGGGTCTGGGTCTGGGAATCGGACCCCCACCTACGTCGGAACGATGGCTGCCGCCTTCTCCTCTCTACAGCGCTCCTTTCTTGAACGGCAGCCCCCAGCCCAGCAGCCCCCAGCCGTCACTTGGGACGCAGCAGGGTCCCCTCGATGCCCCGCCCCGCAGCTCGTGGCTCGAAGATGAGCTCCGAGGCTTAGGGGAGGCTGCGATTCAGCTGGGGAATCGGGTGGAGAAGAGCCTGCGGGAGTTTGGGGAAAGCTTCAGACAGGACATGAGAACCCTCGTCGGTTCGCAAGAGGCACTAGCAGTCAGTCTGCAGCAAAACAATGTCCTCTTGCAAAGGCTTCTGGGAGTGCTGGAAGCCCAGCAGCAACCGCAGCCCCAGCAGCATCGCGGACAACAAGCGCACCCCTCACAAACGCCTCAGCAGCAGCAGCAGCACTTACAGCCACAGCAGATACAGCACATAGAGCAACAGCATCTGCAGCAGACGCAGCAGCATCAAATGCACCTACAACAGCAGCCGCAGGTAACCCAGCACTCTAATAATCAGCCAGCGGTAGTATCGGCACCATCATCCCCAGAAATACACGGCACTTTTCCCCCGGACCCCGCCGCAAACACCAGCGGAAACCTGCACCGGCCGCGGCGAGGGAGAGCTCTCGACCACAGGCGCAGGAGACGGCGCTGAGAATGTATTTTTAGAAAAAAAAAAAAATTGTCGATGTTTGAAAATGTGATGCTCTTTTTACTCGCAGTATTTCTGGAAAAAAATTACTAGTTATATATCCTGTTTTTCATCTCACTCCATATCCGTAAGCCATTGTGTACTTAGGTCTGTTTTACAGAAAGGACTGGAGCAGTTTGTTGAAGTAGACTCAAGTTAATAGGGTGGCCTTTACATTACCCTCGGTACCACAAAAACGTGTGCATAAATCTGTGGTAAGAAAATATTTAAACAACAAAGTGATGGATTCACTTTACAAACTTTTCCAAGAGGGAAAAAAAAACAGGCTTACTATAGTCTCTGATGCTCAGTTCGCATGTTTCTCTGCAAAGTTCGGTGATGCTCTTACAGATTCAATCCTGCCTCAGTTTTCCTGACTGACTACATCATCATAAAGTACTTGTGATCTGCACTTGTTTCCATAAATTGTAGTTTTGCAGCTGTTGTAAGTACCTTCTAATGTATGCTTATGCTTTTTTGGATTTTCTGCTCCCTCACTGAAAGGAAACAAAGTTTGGGAAAACGAGAAAATCCCATTGAACCAGAATGGTGGCGCTTCTATTCAGGGCATTCGGTCGCCACTAGGCATGGGCTGGAATGAGACACTCGTTTCATGACAAGCTTCAGTGTAAAATGCCAAGTTTCACAGTAATAACATGAAAATTTAAAGGAGACATATAAAACCTAGTTCAATTGCTTTTAGTTAAACAAGTTGTCTGCCGAACTTTCACCTTAAGGAGAACAACAAATAGCACTTTTTTTTTTTAGTTCTTACACCATGACAATCTATGTTTTTTTGTAACCAAAAATATTTTCCAACATGCAAGTTTCTTTGTTATAAACGAGGAAGACCTTAAGGACTTTTCTTTAGGTGGTGACAGGCCTACGTTTGTATAGCACTTTATCAAGTCTGAGGGCTCCGAAGCGCTTTACACTAGAATCCGTTTTTCACACAATGATGGCACCACCGTCAGCAGCCACGCCAGGTGAAATGTGTTGCAGAAGGACTCGACGACTGAGACGGACAGGGCGTCAACCCACCGGGTACGGGATGGACTTCCACTCCTGAGCCACTGTTGTCTTTCTTTAAGCTTACAGCAATAGGTCGGGGCGGGGAAGCTCCCTTTTGCCTCCGATCAGTACTTTTTCTGGCACTGTGTGCAAAAGGGTTTTCGCAACTAACTTTTTAAAACCCCGGTTCACTTGACAGCAGAATCAGGGCCTCTACCATCTAGTTAAGGTAAACTATGATTTATTTATAATGATTTATCATTATTTGTCTTAAAACTTTTTTTTTTTTTTTTTTTTTTTTTACAAAAGTTTCCAAATTTCTTCAAAGGTACATTGTTTTTACCTTGTGTCAGAAAAAAAAGTGTAGAAATCAGCAGATAGGCAGTGTGCAGCAGGAAGTTAAAGAAGTGCCGACCCGCCATTACAGCTGGGAAAAACAACTTAAATGTGATACTTTTTCTGGTATGTTGTGTGTGTTTTTATTTTTTATTTTTTGATGATACTACTAACTGGCCCATGCCTAGTCACCACGTGCTTGTTCTGTTTCAATAGTTTTCATTATACCTTTCCAGGTTTTGTCTGGACAACATTAAGCTGTGTTCTGAAGGTGCATTTTGAGATAAAATTGTTATATTTTAAAGCCTCTTTGAATATATATGTATGTATGTGTGTGTGTGTATGTATATATATATATATATATATATATATATATATATATATATATATATGGGGAAAAAACAGGTAAGCATCACAGTATGATTCAGTCTTCAGCTCGTGTTTATGATGGACTTTTAAAGCATTCATTAGTATCTTGCAGCTAGCTATTGATAATCTTGCATGCAGTATCATGAACGTGTTTGTAAATAGTTACAGAGGAGCATTAAATGGCCATCTATGTAGTTTTGCACAAGTTATATTTTGTAGATAGATGCCGTCAGATGAAATGTAACTAAACTTAATAAAATACAACTATGAGCTGCAGAAAAACAATGCATTGGTCACTTGTGGATTTGTTACAGCATGTAAAAAGTCATTTATATATACATTTTATCTTAATGAATCTAAGTCTCTGAATAGTTTGTGGTTTAAAATATTGAAATACATAATATAAATTTAATGAATCCAAATCCTTGAATCGTTTGCGATCATTAAAAAGTGTAAGTGAAGTATAAAAACGGGATTAAAATCAAAACTGATTACATAATTTAATTTGAAACTAATTAATACAAAACTGGCAATCATCAGAAGCACATGAGATATAGTTATGTTGTTTGACAGACCCTGCTGCTTGACCCCATGTCGAGTTGAAAAGTTATGGTGAATTATAATAAAGTTTTACGTGTAGTGTGTGCAACAACAAAGTCACAACAGCAGTAAACTGGAAATGTATAATTTAAAGCTTCAAATGTGTTTTCTTAGATAATGAAGCTCGTCTGTTTGTCAGTACCGAGGGTTTTATTTTGAAGGTGGCGACCGGAAACGTAATCCTGGCTTCACGATCTTTGTGTGCTTCGGACAAGGGGGTGCATGGGTGAAACATGGCCGCCGCAGACCCGAAGTCTCCGAATCGACAGAAAACCCCCGCAGAGGAGGTGGACACATCTGGGGAACAGGCCGCGGCGGCGAAGTCGGGATGCAGCCCGAAACAGACGGATGAGGCGGCGGGCGAGAAAAACGGGGTCTGCCCCAACGGTGAGCTCGGAGCCGAGGATGTTGGCAGCAACGGCGGTGGCTCTGTTGCCAGCCATTCTGGGGAGGTTGGTCTCGAGTCCGTTGCTGGAGCAGCAGACAAAACGACATGCGTCTCACCGGAGGACCGTGCAGCGACCGAAAAAATGGCCGAGGCCCTCGACAGCCAGCAGCAGGGTTTCGACTGGTCAGACCCTGAAGACGACGAGGAAGGGGCGAAATCCCAGACGAAGGAAAATTATAAAAGTGGTATGCCAACAATGTTGTTGTACGTTAGTTAGCTTTAGCCTGGGGCTAACCTGAGGTAAACTATCCCCTCCTGCTCCCGTGCAGACTCTAATCTCTGCTAACGGTATTTTTCATAGCAAAATCAAAGTAGGATCCCACATTGTAGACTAGCAGCTTTTAACATGACTTCCTATCTTTATCCATGCACTTGACCAGCGTGGCAATGTTTACTTTCCTACATTTCGGAGGTTGGTCTTTATTTTGTTCGTTATCATGTGTACAAACAGGGAAAAAAAAAAGATTATTGCAGATTTAACCATTTCCAATTTGTAGTCCTACTGCAGCTCTGCACAGAATAAGAGATGGGCGATATAATCTGAAGGTAAACGCTCCACTGCTGGTTTTCAGGGTAATTTGAAATAATTAAACAGTTCTACCAGAATACTAATACAAAAATAATATTGCTTACAAGTGAAATATTTACCAGTCATCAGAGAAAGTGAAACTTCTATATTATATAGAATCATCACACACAGCAATATATTCCAAAGCTTGGTTTCTATTAATTCGGATGATTTTGACTTGCAGATAACGAACATCCAAAATTCAGTGTCTCAGAAAATGAGAGTTGAAAAAGATCATTAATTGAAACTCAAGGTGCCACACCCTGATCAGCTAATTAACTCAAAGAACCTTCAAATGTTAAACTGGCCCTCAGTCTGGGTCAGTAGGCTACACAACCATGGGGGATGACTGCTGACTTCACAGATGTCCAGAATTCAGTCATTGACACCCTTTACAAGGAGGGTAGGGCCATTGCTGAAGAAGCTGGTTGTTTAAAAGTTATGTATCCAAGCATATTATCAGAAAATTAAGTGGGAGGAAGAAGTGTGCAACAAATGTGCAACAGAAAGGACTGTCAAATGAAATTCATTACAGAAGGGCCACGAATAGTTGCAATGTCACATTTCCAGTTTCAAGCCTTTCCTGAACCAGAGACGACGTCAGACGCATCTTACCTGTGCTAAGGAGAAAAGGAACTGGACTGTTGCGCAGTGGTCCAGAGTTCTGTTTTCAGAAATGAATTCTGCATTTCATTTTTAAATGAAAACTCCAGGGTCTGTAGGAAGAGTGGAGAGACATAGAATCCTCATTGCTAGAAGTCCAGTGTGGAAGTTTCCACAGTGATTGTTTAGGGTGCCATGTCATGCTGATGTTGGCCCACTGTGTTTTCTGAAGTCCACAGTCATTGCTGCCGTCTACCAGGAAATTCTAGAGCATTTCATGATTCCCTCTGCTGACGAGCTGCATGGAGATGCTGATTTTATTTTCCAGCACCACTTGGAGCTGCCCGCACTGCCAAAGGTGCCAAAAGTGTTCCTGTTCTTGATTGGCCAGCAAGCTCCCCTGACCTTTAACCCCATGGAGTATCTATGGACTGTCTTCAAGAGGTACATGAAAGACACCAGATCCAACAAGGCAGACGATCCGAAGGCAGAAGCAATCTGGGCTTCCTTTACACCTCAGCAGAGCCACAGACTGATCGCCTCTCTGCCATGGCGCATTGATGCAGTAATTCATGCAAGAGGAGACCCAACCAAATATTGAGTGCATAGACATATAAATAGTTTTATGTTTTTTTACCATTAAGCCATAATCATTAAAATTGCAAAACCTTAAAAGCTTGAAATATTTTAATCTGTGTGTAATGAATCTCATTTAAAGGATTGTTTAACTTTCTGCCAAGAAATGTTGCACTTTTATGTAATATTAAAAATTTTTTAGGCGCACTAATATATTCAGACCTCATTACCTCCAACTTTTGCTACTTTTCTAGAGCAAATGTATATTTAAGTAATTCATAATAACTAATGGTAACCTCCATCCATTGAGTGTAAAGAAAATGAGACCATAACAAATATTTTCTGATATTATTCCACTTAATTAAAACAAAGTTATTGTTTTGATTTAACAAAAAAAAAAAAAAAAAAAAAAAAAAATATAAATATATATATATATATATATATATATATATATATATA